AGAGTGATCCCATATTGATGTGTTGTTATACAGAGTGTGATCCCATATTGAGGTGTTATACAGAGAGTGATCCCATATTGAGGTGTTGTTATACAGGGAGTGATCCCATATTGAGGTGTTATACAGGGAGTGATCCCTTATTGAGGTGTTGTTATACAGAGAGTGATCCCATATTGAGGTGTTGTTATACAGGGAGTGATCCCATATTGAGGTGTTGTTATACAGGGAGTGATCCCATATTGAGGTGTTATACAGAGTGTGATCCCATATTGAGGTGTTATACAGGGAGTGATCCCATATTGAGGTGTTGTTATACAGGGAGTGATCCCATATTGAGGTGTTATACAGGGAGTGATCCCATATTGAGGTGTTATACAGAGTGTGATTCCATATTGAGGTGTTATACAGGGAGTGATCCCATATTGAGGTGTTGTTATACAGAGTGTGATCCCATATTGAGGTGTTATACAGAGTGTGATCCCAGATTGAGGTGTTGTTATACAGAGTGTGATCCCATATTGAGGTGTTGTTATACAGAGAGTGATCCCATATTGAGGTGTTATACAGAGTGTGATCCCATATTGAGGTGTTGTTATACAGGGAGTGATCCCATATTGAGGTGTTATACAGAGAGTGATCCCATATTGAGGTGTTGTTATACAGGGAGTGATCCAATATTGAGGTGTTATATAGAGAGTGATCCCATATTGAGGTGTTATACAGAGTGTGATCCCATATTGAGGTGTTATACAGAGAGTGATCCCATATTGAGGTGTTATACAGAGTGTGATCCCATATTGAGGTGTTGTTATACAGGGAGTGATCCCATATTGAGGTGTTGTTATACAGAGAGTGATCCCATATTGAGGTGTTGTTATACAGGGAGTGATCCCATATTGAGGTGTTGTTATACAGGGAGTGATCCCATATTGAGGTGTTATACAGAGAGTGATCCCATAGTGAGGTGTTGTTATACAGAGTGTGATCCCATATTGAGGTGTTGTTATACAGAGAGTGATCCCATATTGAGGTGTTGTTATACAGGGAGTGATCCCATATTGAGGTGTTATACAGAGAGTGATCCCATAGTGAGGTGTTGTTATACAGAGTGTGATCCCATATTGAGGTGTTGTTATACAGAGAGTGATCCCATATTGAGGTGTTGTTATACAGAGAGTGATCCCATATTGAGGTGTTATACAGGAAGTGATCCCATATTGAGGTGTTATACAGAGAGTGATCCCATATTGAGGTGTTGTTATACAGAGAGTGATCCCATATTGAGGTGTTGTTATACAGAGTGTGATTGTTATACAGAGTGTGATCCCATATTGAGGTGTTATACAGGGTGTGATCCCATATTGAGGTGTTGTTATACAGTGTGATCCCATATTGAGGTGTTATACAGGGAGTGATCCCATATTGAGGTGTTATACAGGGTGTGATCCCATATTGAGGTGTTGTTATACAGAGTGTGATCCCATATTGAGGTGTTGTTATACAGGGTGTGATCCCATATTGAGGTGTTGTTATACAGTGTGATCCCATATTGAGGTGTTATACAGGGAGTGATCCCATATTGAGGTGTTATACAGGGTGTGATCCCATATTGAGGTGTTATACAGGGTGTGATCCCATATTGAGGTGTTGTTATACAGAGTGTGATCCCATATTGAGGTGTTGTTATACAGAGTGTGATTGTTATACAGGGAGTGATCCCATATTGAGGTGTTGTTATACAGGGTGTGATCCCATATTGAGGTGTTGTTATACAGGGTGTGATCCCATATTGAGGTGTTGTTATACAGTGTGATCCCATATTGAGGTGTTATACAGGGAGTGATCCCATATTGAGGTGTTATACAGGGTGTGATCCCATATTGAGGTGTTGTTATACAGAGTGTGATCCCATATTGAGGTGTTGTTATACAGAGTGTGATTGTTATACAGGGAGTGATCCCATATTGAGGTGTTGTTATACAGGGTGTGATCCCATATTGAGGTGTTGTTATACAGTGTGATCCCATATTGAGGTGTTATACAGGGAGTGATCCCATATTGAGGTGTTATACAGGGTGTGATCCCATATTGAGGTGTTATACAGGGTGTGATCCCATATTGAGGTGTTGTTATACAGAGTGTGATCCTGTTATTGAGGTGTTGTTATACGAGTGTGATTGTTAAGGGAGTGATCCTGCTGGCTGAGGTGTTGTTATGGCTGAGTGTGATTGTTGGCCAGGAGTGATGGAATCTTTGTTTGAGTTCAGGCTCTGCCTCCGCAGAGCATCTGGGTTTTGTGGTTCCTGTCATTTCCGCCGGTGGGTCTGCTGGCCAAATAGAAGCAGCTCGGGGATGAGTCGGCGACTTGAGGCGCTTCACTGAGTGCGGAGGTTACGGAGGCCGCCACAGGAACTACAGGACGGAGCCGTAACAGCGGCTACTGGCCTCACTGGAGGCAGAAGGACAGCCACCATGGGGGGCTGTGGAGGCAGGTTAGACAGCCACCATGGGGGCGAGGAGGCAGGTTAGACAGCCACCATGGGGGGCGAGGAGGCAGGTTAGACAGCCACCATGGGGGGCAAGGAGGCAGGTTAGACAGCCACCATGGGGGGCCAGGAGGCAGGTTAGACAGCCACCATGGGGGGCCAGGAGGCAGGTTAGACAGCCACCATGGGGGGCAAGGAGGCAGGTTAGACAGCCACCATGGGGGGCAAGGAGGCAGGTTAGACAGCCACCATGGGGGGCAAGGAGGCAGGTTAGACAGCCACCATGGGGGG